AAAATTTTTTTTTTTTTTTTTTTTTTTCAGGGATTGGCTATTTTATTATCCTGTCTGGTATATCATCATCACGTAACAATTATCGGCATTATTGGAATTTTACTAGTATTTAGTTCGGTATTTTTACGAATATATTGTAATAATCGATTACGTGCAATCAGAAGACGTAGAGCTGCGGCAAATAGTATAAAAGATTAATTTTAACAAAAGATTAATTTAAAACAAAAAAATATAGGTACAAATTTTATGAAATTTTTAATACTTTTTTTTTTAAACTCATATATATTCTGTTAAATATTTCTAATTATAAAAAATTATCAATTCGTATTAAATGTTGATAATGTTTTTTTTTATATAATATTATACATATTTTACACAGAGGAAAATGATCAGTTATTTTCAATTGATTGCATCCAGTTTTAGAATTCATTATTTATTATGTACTGTAGGTAGATTACTTTAAAAATATATAATATAAATACATGTTAAAAATAATAAGATCAAAAGTATATTATTTATTCAAGAAATATTTATTTTATTATAGACAAAAAATGTCACTTTTATAGAAAAAAAAAGGATCAATAAAAAAAAAAGAAAATCGACTATACACTTTTTTCATATGGCATTAATTTATAGAATATCTATACATTTTGTTATTATTAGAAAATAAAGTAATATTCTTAATATGAATATTAAATATACATTTTTATAGATTAAAACGATTAAATTGACTTTCTCTCACTTTTATTAATATACAGAAACATACATGCGATGTAATTGAATTCTTGAATATTAATATGATTGTTCATTCTTCTGGAGATGAAGGTTTATAGATGGCTATAAGACACGAAATAGAAATAATTAATTCAGATGCTAAAAGTACCAATTGTATGCTGCAAAGAATTACTTCTAATTTGAGTACATAATTTTGCCAGAATAAAAAATATAATGTCGCTAAGGAGCTGGGTACTGTTAAAATAACTCCAATAAGAATTGGTAATCCATGTTCTGTCAAATTCCCTTTCCTTCCAAAGTAAATTCTGGATCCTTCTGTGATTATAAGGAAGAATAAGAGTATAAACTCTGTAAATGTAGTACTTGTGCCAGAAGGTAGATTCGCAGCTTTGAAGAAGCCCATACCCAATTCGCATATAGCAAACATACCAAAATAAAAAGAGTTTAAATACATAAGAATTTCATATGTTAAAGATGAGCTAGCTATGGTAGGCATTTTATTGATTTTTTAACAATGTTTTAACAATGTAAAAATCTGTATGCTTATTATTAGGTTTTACCTAATAGTATATTAATTCATTATATTAAATCTTTGTAAATTAACACAGCGTGTTTTCATTTATGCATTGAATTTCATTTGTATATTTTATTTTTAATTGTGAACAAAATTCATTCTAGTGTTCTACACACATGACATATATGAATACATAGACATTGTTATTTTTAAATTTTATGCACATAAATGGAAGTTATTTTTTTAACTTTATTCTTGAATATTACATATGCGTGCATATATGTATATAGATTTTCAACTATATAATAATATTTATAGCTTATTTTAATAAATTATTTGGAAAAGATATTATTAATTAATTATTGATCATAAATAAATGGTGATCAAGTTTGGTTAGAAAAGTATAAACACAAATGAATTTTTTGAAAATAAAATAATTATAGTTTTCATTTCCATTGAATTCATTAAAGATTTTATCTTTTTTGTATTTTCTCGGTTATACATTCGATGCCTTAATTACGAAATTTTATGCATTAAAAGAAATTCTATTTTCTTTAGATATCTATTTTCGCAAACGAATAACAACACATTTGTGAATATATTGAGCAGTGTTACCAAATGAGGAAATAAGAAATGTATGCAATTTTATTATAATTATTTTAACATATTAAATATAAAGTAAGTATTTTAAAAATATAGTATATATAAAAACGATTAAAATTTAATTAAAAAAATTTGCATAATTTTAATATATGATATTGAATTTTTAATATATTTTAACCTTTACAAATAGCAAGCAAGTTACTATATCTAAAGAAACATTTTTATTACAATTTCGATTAAAAAATGGATTAATTTGAAAGGAGAACATAGTTATGAACAAACAAATTTATATATAAAAATTAATTGATGATGGCAGATCTACTACAGACTATTTGAGCATGATTAATGATTTGCAATGGCTTTTTATACGAATTTTTCGAAATTATTTCATTTGAACAAATTATTTCAAAATCAAGGGAAAAAATGGCAAAGGATGAAATATGTATCTCCGATACGATTTCATCAATCTATAGCAAGAAGTATTAGTAATTTTGAGAGTTCAAAACGAGTAGTAAAAGGTGTATTTATTTTATCTTATAAACCCGAGCATCAAAAACAAATTTATACAAATAATTTGTTGACAAAAAATATAGAATCCAAAAATTTCTTTGATATCATTTTAATCATGGCAAGAATATTTGTGATAGGTTCTGTTCTTACTGGATTGGCTGTTGGATATATTATTACACGTTTTACACATGGACACATGTTCCCGATAATCCTTCGGAAAAGTATAATATTTACCAATCAAAAGAAAATATATGTTGATTTGTTGTAATTGCAGGTATCGAATTTCTTGGACCAATTTTTATAAAATTTGGCCAGTGGGCATCTACGCGAAAAGATTTGTTTCCCGAAGATGTTTGTCATACACTATCACATTTGCAAAAAAGCGCTTCTGTACATTCATGGATTTATACAAAACAATTACTTAAAGCTATATACGGTTCGAACTGGAGGAACATATTCGTAAAATTCGAACACGAGATGCCTATTGGATCAGGATGTTGTGCTCAGGTATAAATATAAAATGAAATGAAATGATTGAGTTGTATCAAGAGATTGTATTTTACATTCCTATCCGATCGATAGGTATACAAGGCATGGATAGATTTAAATGCCCAAGTGGATATGGTACAAGAACCTCAAATATCTACGTTTATTGAAAGTAAACCATTTACATTTTTTTTTTTGTTTTTTCTTTCTAAGATCGAAGGATGATATATATGTCATCATATATGATATATATGATGAAATATCGACAAAAATTTAAGTTTTTTTAAAAAAAAATATAAATTTTTTATATTTTTATAATTCTTAATATGTATTAATATATTTTAAATTTTAAACGAATCTTATTACAGTTATTGAATATTTAAGATTTGGTTCCCTGATTACTTTTATTGGTAAATATATGAAAATGAAAATTAAATTGATTTTACTAGATTAAATTCGAAATATTTCACGTGATATAAAATAATAATTACAGAAAGAACGTTTAATAATAACGTTGATAAAATACAACATGGTAATATGTATATCAATCGAAAACTGCAACCAGTAGCAGTAAAAGTTTTACATCCTGGAATTAAAAAACAATTAAGGTACGATATATTTGTAATTTAAGATAACAAGAAATAATAGCTAATCTTTTTGGACCTCTAGATCGTTTTTCTTTATCGTTTTCGTTTAATTTAGAAGAGATCTTTCTATAATGAGAGGAATCTGCAAATATGCAACATACATCGTGCCTAAATTACAATGGCTTAGTCTCATCGATTGTATCAATGAATTTTCGCACATAATGGAAAATCAAGTAATTTTTATTATTAATTATAAGTTATCAATTTATTTGAAATATTATATACAATAAATTATATAAAATAATATACAATAATATACAATATATATTTACGTAAAAAAATATATATATATATAAATAAATATAATATTATATTATATATTATATAATGAGTTTTTATAATAACATTTGTAAAGGTTGATATGAATTTGGAAGCAGACAATTTGATTCAATTTTCTAAAAATTTTTCTAACAAAAAGGAAGTTATATTTCCACAACCTTATAAGAATTTTACACAACATGAAATACTCGTGGAAAGTTTTCACGAAGGTTCTCCAATTTCTAACTATCTCGATGATCAAAATACCAAGTTGCAAGGGAAATTGGCTAGAATGGGGTTAAAAACAATTTTAAAAATGGTTGGAAATCTTGTAATTTTCGATATATGACTAGTATTGTGTCGAATTTATTGATTTTTTAATTACAATTATCGAGTAAATTGCAGGTATTTAGTGACAATTTCATTCATTGTGACTTGCACCCTGGTAATATTTTGGTACAAACAAATTATAAATCAACTGGAAGAATTAGTACATGGTTTTGGAGATTTATCGATCGCAATTATTTACCGACTTATCCACGCTTGGTCATTCTTGATTGCGGTTTAGTAGTGTCTCTGAATGATCGTTGTCGGCAAAATCTCAAGGATGTTTTCCGTTCGGTGGTCATGGGAAAAGTATCTATATATATATATATATATATATTTATAATTTTTATCTTCTAATTTTTTCTTCATTCTTATTTATTTTTTTTTTCTTCTTTTCATATATTTATTTATTTAGGGTGAATTAGCTGCAGAATACATATTGGAACACAGTTCGCACGTATCCATCGATCCAGACGGTTTCAAGAATGCAATCAAAAATATTGTAAACACGCATCTTCAAAGTAGAACCAATGTGAATTTTTAAAAAATTTTTAAAAAATACTTATACGCAAGGCGCATGAAATAATGGTTGCAATTGAAGAAGACTCCTTGAAGGACCACTTAAAAATATTACAGGTGAACGTAAGTACCGTTGTGTCTGAATTGTTTTCTGCGATGGTTCGGCATCGAGTTAAGCAAGATGGAACCTTCATCAACGTGATTCTCAGTATGGTAGTAATTGAAGGCCTTGGTCGAAGTCTGGATCCGAATATCGATATCTTCACAGAAGTTATACCGTTTATTTTTACAAATACAACATTGTGCCATGATTAAATTATGAAATATCGTTTTAAATATATAGCAAAAATGCGGGGAATTAATTGGGGAAAAGCGTTTAAAGGAAATTTTAGAATTTTTTGCTATCAAAATATATAGCTTTTTATCTTGTAAATTTTTCTTTTTAAAATATTTTTATCATATAAAAGAGCAGTTGCGAAAAGTGAAGCTGTGAAAAAAAAAATTATTTTATTATTGTTAATTTGTTGAATATGCGCGGCAATCTTTATCACTGAATAAGGTATCGCACGAGAAAGTCCCGTTTTAATGACAAGTCATTATACGAGTCCTGAGAAGGATTCCAATTTTAAAACAGGCCAGTTACCCATGATCACTTCCTGGTTGGTCGACCATCCTCGCTTCAACGATATAGCTTCCATATATGTGTATGTACATATGTAATGTATATTCGTAAATATTCGAGTTATATTTTGATTATTCTTTTAAGTCTTTTGTATGTGTATATATTTTTGTAATATATATAGCAAGATTAGAATATATTCATCAGATTGCTGACTTTATTATTTGTAATCTAATTTATTGTTATCTCATCGCACATATTTATCTTTATTCCTAATTATACATCAATAATTATATTATAATCGTTACTTTTAATTACTTGATCTAATTAAGATATTTTATATATAACTTGTTTAGAATATTTATTGTACAATATATTATAGTTTATGTATATGTATGTAATAATTATTTGTGTTGTTTGAAACTTGTATGAAAGAAATTTGGTTAGTAAAAATATTAAATGAATTCAAAGAATCGGAGAAAAAAAAAGAAGGAAATATTAATTTGAATGTAACTGGTTGTCACATGAAATTATCGCGTTTGTTCGTCACGAAAGAATCGTGACAAGGTATCGCGCCATCTGCCGAACATATCGTGCTCACTATAAGTTGAAATCCCCACCAAAGTTACTCCCTCCGTCGAAGATGCCGGGGATCGGACCGTTGTATTGGACCAGCAAAAGGAACGGTGAAGCGTGGAAACGGACTACGAAGCACATAAGAAGTGCTCTCGCAATCAGAGTGTGCAGTGTGAAGATGAATAAACTTTTGCTTTTTCTAATCTGATTAATTCAATTTTGATAGAACAAAAATCGAAGAAAATAAAATATCATTCATATAACGAAAATTATTTCAATTTGTGTGTAAAATTATAAAATAATTGATGACAAATTCTATACTTGTTAACATTTAAATAGCATATCAAATAGCGACAATTAATGCTCGTGATTCGTCTTATTTAAATTTATTTCAGTTCTATTCCGTTTCGATTGGTATACATATACATATATATATATATATACATATATATATGTATATATATATATGTATATGTATTATGTGTGTATTACCGATGTATCGTTCAAAACTAGTATATAATCGTATATATATACATGATTACTACATGATCATGTTTTATTGGATTCTTTCAACCCCTCCTTATTCTCGTTTATTTATTAGTTTCATTTATATTACTTCTCTTCATTCAACTTGATGGTTAATTCTTGTTCCCCCACTTCTAAAAGAGAATCTTTAAGAATTACGATTAAATTTATTTTAATATAGTTGTTTTCTTTTTTTATTATAGAATTATGAAATTAATTATTGATATGATAAATTACTCGTATCAATATTGTCACGATTAACAGTTGATTTTACCACTGCTGCTTATATAATAATATATACCATAGCCTATCATCATCATCATCATCACCATCACGATTACCATTATCATCATTATTATCATCATCACCATCACTACCATCTGTACCACCACCACAACTACTATTACCACCACCATCACTACTACTGCTACTGCCACCATTACAATCATCTTGACGACGACACAACGATGTTTGGTATCTCTTTTTAACTGTACTTCAGACCACGCGCACCCTTCGTAAGTATAAGAACGTCTCGTTTTTATCTACCGGTTGATCGCTACCTGTGATATGAATACGCGAATTTAAATAAATTCATCGAATTTCCGGGTATAAGCGGTTCATCGAAATGAATGTTCACGAATATTGATGACAGTGAAAATACGTCCTTTTGTTTCAAATTTATGTGAACGAAAATAATCTAAAAGAAAACAGTATGCATATTTAGAATGAATAATAATGTGAACCGTGTGAACTTGTGATTCTAAGTGATAATTAATAACCTTTATATCGCGGGAATGCTTACTTCAATTATGACGAATCAAAATATTTACGTTTTTTTAATCGTTATTATATAAATCTATAATCGTTATTTAAATGGCGTAAGCGGTAAAATTAATTTATCATATAAATTTTATTCTAATAAATTTCTTATTTTATTAATTTTATCGAATCGTTGAATTTAATTTTCGATGTATAGGAACGAATTATATCGATCTATGTTCTGCGAGATAATAAAAAAATATATATCCGAACCAGACTATGGGATAATCATCCTAATCTATCGGACGAATCGTAAGTTTCAAAATTTGTCTCTTCGTTCATAGAAAAGAAATGTATATAGATATGTATATATATTTTGATATTTCGATTCCAAATTAAATTTAATCATAACGATAATAAAGATTAAAAGATCGTAATTTCGATAATACTAATTAATATAGATAAATTTATTTATTCGAGAGTTTTCAAACGTAAATATTCAATTGACCGACATATAGGTCGCGCTAATGAGATAATATGCATTCAGTTTTCTCA